AGAAACTTCTAATGAAAAAATAGAAGGTTTTTATACTTTAGTCTCTAACATGAAAAAGAATGATGTATGGTTAGTTATAGGGATTAATCCTGTTATATAAAGATTTTTTTAATTATGTACATAGGTTGAATATATTAATTTATAAAAAATAGTGTAATATATATATATATATATATATATATATATATATATATTAAGTATGATATATATGTGTGGATTTTAATTAATAAATTTTGATTCAAACTATGAGTTTTTGCTAAAACGTTGATTTGGAGGTTGAAATTGAAAAAAAAAAATCAATGAAGTAATGGTTAAATATTAATTAGTTGGTAGTTTAATGCTAATAATTTGTAAAAACATATTGCTTATCTGTATCGTTTGTTTATGGAGAGAAAACGTAGCTATCTAAATAATAGAAGAAGTAACACTTTTTATGGTATTATATTAGCTCAAAAACAAAAGGATCTTTGGTGTTTCGTATTCCAAATTTCGAAAGGCCATTTCATGATGTGTGAAATATAATTTAAAATTCTACATTCTTACGATAATTAACCATTAATGTAAAATAAATAAATAAACAAATAATAAAGATGGCATGTGACCCTTCTATGATTTTGACAATTATTTGTAAAAGTTTAAATAGGTTAATTACAAATTATAATAATTGATTAAGAGGACCAACACATGCTGCATAGTAAAGATTACATGAAATGGACGAATAATAGATAATGTTATCATATAAAATGTTGCCAAATTCTACTTTTATTGCATATTTTGACAGGTATATACATTTTTTGTAATAAACCAATCAAAAACAAGTAATTAGAAAATTCACTATATAACTAAAGTTTGGGATATAGATTATTATTTGTTTGTTGCTTATTAACTTACATTTTATATGTTTCATGTTTAATATTTTAAAAAACGGTTCTCAATTTATTTATTTTTTTTGTAAATCTATTAAATTTATTGAGAGAGTTGTTAACAAGAAATATCTAGTTATATTTTAAGATTAATTAATCTTATAATTTATTAACGTATTTTTCTTTAAATAAGTGATTTTATATCTCAACATAAATCTTTTGAAAAATTTAAATAAATCTAGATGTCGAATGAATTAATAGTATAAATAATATATTTTAAAATAAAAAATACTTAAATAGAATCTTTATCCATTTATGTAATAAAATTGACCGATTTAATATATATATATATATATATATATATATATATATATATATATTCTCTTTCTTCATTTTATTTTTCTCTTTTATATCTCATATTTCTTTCATCAATCTTATAAATAATATATTTTAACCAATTTATAAAGTTTTTATTCTATTTTCTAAAAAAAATTATCTTTTTATATTTACTTATTATATTTTTTTTATCTGATAATTCTTATTTTTCTCTCCTCTTCTATTTATTCTTCTATTCAAATTAGAATATTAAAATTTAATAAAAACATGTTAAAACATTTTTTAAAAATTAACATTAGAACTAAATAAAATATCAATTTTATAGTTAATTAAAATTATGATGGCAATAAATAATTTTATTATCATAACAGTAAATACTTAATTTTAAAATATTTTATTATAATAAATAATAACTCATTTAATTAAAAATATATATCAAATATATATGAGTTAAACATATTTTTTTAGTTAATAATTTAATCTAGTGATAATTAGGTTCAGATGATTGATTAAGTTAGATAATTATTTTTAAAAATATTATTAAAAAATATATTTAAATTATTTTTTTAATAATTATAACATGAAAATAATATTTGTAATATTTCAAATTAAGATAGAGTGAGAGAAGAATAAAAGAAGGAAAAATAGGAAAGAAAGAAGAAAAAGTAAAGAAGACAAAAAAAAAAAGAATAATAAGAAGTAATTAAAGAGAGAAAAAAAGTAAATAAAGGAAGAAAAATAAAAAAAAATTATATTATTTCATATTGATCTATTTTTCTTTTTTAAAATTTTTATGTATGATAATAATAAATTTAGTTGGTGAATAAATTGTAGAAATTTTATTTAATTAATTTTTTTTAAAATATATTATTTACGGGCGATGTTTAATTATAACTAATTTATGTGTTTTTTTAAATATTAAAAATACCCTCTTAAAAAAATAAAATAGATTTCGATTGAAATTATAAAATTTAAAATATTAAAATTAAAGTTCAACTTGTTCACTATGCATAGATATAAGTAGGTAATGTATTTTTTTAATGAGATGAATTTGGAACATAGTATGTAGATAAGAATGCAGGTAAACGATCATTAACTTGACAAATATTGTATTATTGCAGGTCTTTCATTGTCATAAAATATAAATACTTTTAATCAGTTTTGGAAGAAATTACATTCCTTTTAACTTTCTTTTCATTCAAAAATCATTTTTTTAGAGCTCCACTGGTTCCTATTTGGTTTAAAACTGAGTTTAATTCAAAACCCATCATAATTGTATTTGATTCAAACCATAGTTTTCATTTTTGAGTCAGAATTAAGTATAAACTTATATTTTTAAGATGAATTATGATTTAATGTAACAATTTAATTAGGGATAGTAACATGCATTACTGTGTTTTAAGTAAAGAAGAAAAAATATTTTAATTTTCTATCCGAACGGGTTTATTCAATACATTTATTAAACAAAACTAAAATAGTTTTTCATGCTCTTTCTAAAGCAATAATTTGTTTTTCCACAATTTACAATAAAAGTGATTTAAGCCAATTTTTTTTTATTATTAAATGGATGGAAGAAAAAAAAAAGGAAGAGGAAGGGTAGAGCGGTAAATTGGGGCGCTCAAAAGGAAATCCATATCCATTGAATTGAAGTGCGGCAAAGTGCAGTGTAAAGCTTGCAATTCTAACTTTGACATTGACGTCTATTCTAGCTACTCTACATACGAAACAAAAACAAATGTAATTTTTTATTTTCATTCTGGAAAAAGAAAAGAAAAATTCTATCCACTGAAGTTGTAGTTGTACAGTGACCCCTGCTATAAAATAATTCCTCCTCGTAATCTAATTCTTCTTCACTCTCAATCTCTCTCTCTCTCTCTCTCTCTCTCTCTCTCTCTCTAAGTTCGTTGCAACGCAACGCAGAGTCTAATCCGTTTCCGTCGCCGCGTTTCTTATTCTCTCATATCACTCCCCCGCTGTTAACTGGCCGTCAAATCCTCGTCGTCGCCGTTTCAAGGTTATCGATCCTCCGCTGCTTTGCTTCGTTTTTCTAGGTCAATTGTTTTTTGTTAAACTCTTGCAAATCCTGATCTTTCGCCCTTTTAATACTTTTATTTATTTATGGAATGTTTTGCTTTTATTTTATTTTGTTGTTTTGTAATTACGAGTTATTATTACTTAGCTTGTTCGAACTTTGTTTTTTATTAGGAAATTGATTATTGAAGCATGGTAATGTGGTGATTAAATATTAATAGCTTAAATTTGCGTAAGGTGCGTGTGTCTTATTTTTATTCAATTTTCAAACCACTTTTATCTTTTTATTTATTTTTGTTAATACTATTTATTTATCTATTATTATTAACTTGCGGTTGTTTGATGGAGTATATTTTATTTTGTTTTGTTGTTTTTTAATATTTCGTTTTGGAAGGGAGTTTTACTTATTTTTTTACTTGATTTGAGTTTCTTGGGGTTCATAGTAATTTTTCAACCATAGATGCTATCTGCGGCTTCCGTGTTTTGGATATGTCTCTTTGTTTCTATTTTGAGACATGCTATTGTCCCCTACAGCATAAAGCATTTACCCTTCGGCTAAAAAGAATCTCAACCAATGTATTTTGGTTTAGTTTTTTTTTTTTTTTGGCCCCATATGCATTATTATGTGATTGTAGTTATCCAATTTCAACAAACACGATCAAAGGTCCCAGTATCGTTATAGCGTGTTTTGAATTCATTTGAAATCTCAAAATTCGAAACAGTTCTTCCTTGTTGCTTGTTGCTAATTGACTGGCTTTGTTGTTTCAACTTTGAAGTCAATTTTCTGAAGATGCGTGAGTATTCAATTGTGTCTGCAATCTTTGGGGAATATAATTTGTGTGTATTGCTTTTACTATTATTATGTATTAACTGTGAAGGTATGTTGCGTTATTGACAGAATTGAAAATTTCTGTTTAAAAAGCACTTCCCCTATCCGTTCTTACCCTTGCAGAATTTTTTATCTGAAGTACAACAATTGTTTTCTAGTTTCTAGTGTCAATGAGCTGCTACAATTATGTTTATACGCATGTATGTAGCTTAGTTGAATTTTGTGGAGATAATGTTTCCTTTTGGTACGTAGTGAAGTCAGCATGTTTCTCAATCTAGTGAAAAATTACATCATACATGGTTAAGTTTTTATTTCTGATTTGCTTTCCTGGGTTTTCAAATATGGTTATTTGTTAATTTGCTTTTACTTTTCTTTGGGCTTGGGCAGCCTAGATAATGTTACTCCTACTTGGTTATTGCTAATTGCTTGCGGAATAATTATGTTCGGTTTTCAGTAATTCTAATGACCCTTTTAATGTTGTCCAAACTGTTTATCATATGATCCATTTATTAGCTTTGCATTCACGGATGAATTATTGTAAGGCATCTTCTGAAATACTACAGAATCTGAACTGCCATGATCATCAATTCATCATAGTTCTATGGAGAAAATCTTATTCGGTGTTATGTAGCCTCTATGTTTTAAGTTGCAACTTATTATTGTGGTAACGAATTGTTCATCAGCTATTTTTTTATACAATAGAAAAAAGGGTTTTGCTAATTGCTATTGTTCAAGTGCCTTCATAAACCAAAGCTACCAAACGTGGCTGGAGAGATTCACAAGTGAGAATAACAACAGATAATTCTGCACAATTATCTGTTAATATTTTGTAGGATACCAGTTATAATATATGTTTCTTCTAATAATGTATTTATTAACGATCTGTGCGTGCGAATTGATAGGATTCAAGGCATTAAAGAATAGATCCTTTTGGATCATTCATGGCATCAAGATCGCATGCTAATCTACAAGACTTAGCTGGAGGTTTACTCGATGTTCCTCACACACCAAGAACTATTCCAAGGATTATGACTGTTCCTGGATTTATTTCTGACCTAGATGTTTCTGGTAGATATGATGGGGATTCGGATGTTAGTCCTTCTGGTTACCGGGAGCGGAAAATCCTTGTGGCAAATATGTTACCATTGCAGGCTAAGAGAGATTCAGACACTGGTAAATGGTGTTTCAGTTTGGATGAGGATTCAATTCTGTTGCAATCAAAAGATGGGTTTTCTTCTGACACTGAGGTGATCTATGTGGGATCCCTCAAGGCTGAAATAGATGCTCATGAGCAGGAAGAAGTTGCTCAGAAATTGCTAGAGGACTTTAATTGCATACCTACCTTTTTACCCGTCGATGTCATGAAAAACTTCTATCTTGGCTTTTGCAAACAGCAGCTTTGGCCTATCTTTCATTACATGCTACCAATGTTCCCTGATCATGGTGATAGGTTTGACCGCTCACTGTGGAAGGCTTATGTTTCTGCAAACAAAATATTTGCAGACAAGGTTATGGAAATAATCAATCCTGACGATGATTTTGTTTGGGTTCATGACTATCACTTGATGGTTTTGCCAACATTCCTGAGAAAGCGGTTTAATCGTGTTAAACTTGGATTCTTTCTTCACAGCCCTTTCCCTTCATCCGAAATTTACCGAACTTTGCCGGTAAGGGATGAAATTCTTAGGGGATTGTTGAATTCTGATTTAATTGGTTTCCATACATTTGATTATGCTCGCCACTTCCTCTCTTGTTGCAAAAGAATGCTAGGTCTTGACTACGAATCTAAACGAGGACATATAGGACTTGACTACTTTGGCCGTACTGTATTTATCAAAATTTTGCCTGTAGGCATTCATATAGGTAGGCTTGAATCTGTATTGAATCTCCAATCTACATCGGCTAAACTGAAAGAGATTCAAGAAGAGTTTAAGGGTAGGAAGGTTATTCTTGGTGTTGATGACATGGATATCTTCAAGGGCATCAGTCTGAAGCTTCTAGCCGTTGAGCAGCTGCTGGAGCAGAATCGAGATTTGAAGGGCAAATTAGTCCTAGTACAAATTGTGAATCCAGCTAGGAGTTCAAGCAAGGGTGTTCAGGAAGCAAAGAAGGAGACATATCTAATTGCCCAGAGGATTAATGATACGTATGGGTCAAACCATTATCGGCCAGTTATTCTCATTGATCGTCCTGTTCCTCGTTTTGAGAAGAGTGCCTATTATGCTGTAGCAGAATGTTGCATTGTCAATGCTGTGAGGGATGGTATGAACTTAGTGCCATACAAGTATATTGTCTGCAGACAAGGAACTGCACAGATGGATAAAGCTTTGAGTAGAAAAAGTGATTCTCCCCGTACGAGCACGATTGTTGTCTCTGAGTTCATCGGTTGTTCTCCTTCTCTTAGTGGAGCAATCAGGGTCAATCCCTGGAACACAGATGCTGTGGCTGATGCTCTGTATTCAGCTGTTACTATGCATGATTCAGAGAAGCAATTGAGACATGAGAAACACTACCGGTACATCAGTTCTCATGATGTGGCATATTGGGCTCGCAGCTTTATGCAGGATTTGGAGAGAGCATGCAAAGATCATTACACCAAAAGGTGCTGGGGAATGGGTTTAGGCCTAGGGTTTAGAGTTATTTCTCTTTCTCCTGGTTTTAAGAAGTTGTCTGTTGATCATGTTGTTTCAGCATACAAAAGAACTGGTAGAAGAGCCATATTTCTTGATTATGATGGCACCATCGTATCAAAATCTTCTATAAATAAAACCCCCAGCCCTGAAGTCATATCCGTGCTAAATGAAATGTGTAACGATCCTAAAAATACCGTGTTCATTGTGAGTGGAAGGGGAAGAGATTCTTTAAGTGAATGGTTTACTTCATGCAAAATGATTGGACTTGCAGCCGAACATGGATACTTTGTAAGGTATTTATTTAAGTTTTAGAAAGATTTGAGCATCATAATTTGAAACCCCCCCTCCTTTCCTTCTCTCAAAAACAGATGAAGAGCCTGACTCTTCTTTTGTGGTTGCAGGCGGAATAAAGATTCTGAATGGGAAGCTAGTCATTTGTCTCCTAATCTTGATTGGAAGAAGATTGTGGAACCTGTCATGCAATTGTATACGGAGGCAACTGATGGATCTAATATTGAAACTAAGGAAAGTGCTTTGGTGTGGCATCATCAAGATGCGGACCCTGATTTTGGCTCTTGCCAGGCCAAAGAATTGTTAAATCATCTGGAAAGTGTCCTTGCCAATGAACCTGCAATTGTCACCAGGGGCCAGCATATAGTTGAAGTCAAGCCACAGGTACAGGTCCTTACTTTTCTATATTCCCGCCAAGTTCATAAGCTTGATTGGACTTATCGAAGTCTTCATCTATTCTCTGCAGGGGTTAAACAAGGGCCTGGTAGCTGAAAAGGTTCTTTCCACTATGATTAATGTTGGTAATCCGCCAGATTTTGTGGTGTGCGTGGGAGACGACATTTCTGATGAAGACATGTTTGAGAGCATAATACGGACAGTTTCATGCCCATCATTGACATTCGTTCCAGAGATCTTTGCCTGCACTGTTGGTCAGAAACCCAGCAAGGCCAAATATTATCTTGATGATTCTGCAGAGGTCATGAAGTTGCTTCAAGGCCTTGGTGCTTCATCTAAACCAAAGCCCAGGCCTGTAGCACATAGCCAAGTTTCCTTTGAGAGCACCGTTTGATCTATTGGTTCCTTGTGCTTCTCTAGTTGGGAGGATTCTTCACATGTGAATCAGGGAATGTTATGTTATTAATGTTTCCCTGACATATGGTGGGACCTGGGTGTTGCAGATAGGATTCTTTGCCCTCTAAACCTTTTTGCATGGCTTGTGGAAGCATTTATTTTTTGTGCTCAGTATAGTGCGGTTCATAAATGAGCTGACAATTCTTCTTCCGTACACGGTTACATTTATTGTTGTATTTGCTGGTGCCACCTGTAGCTTTAGTTGTGTTTAGAACTGTAGACCATACACTTGTTTGCATTCAACATGAGGCACCAATAGCTTGTACAGTTAAACTATTTTTCTTCACCATACATAATGGCCATCTGGTTTCAGATATCTTGCTTCAACCGAAGGGATAATCCCTCACCTTGACCAAGAAGATGTCATTAAATTTTAACACATCTCAATCAAGACCATAAAATTGATGCCATCATAATAATTTAAATTTAGTAGTATTTTTGGAGCATCCACAAGGTTGGAATGAGGAACTAAATAGAAAATTCTCCAATCAAGATTACTTGGACCAAACTTAGCTATTTCAACATTTTCAGTGAAGCAAGGGTTTTAATGCTGTATTAAAAAAATTAACTTTTAAAATAAGATAGACATGACTCACTTTACAAACTATATACTAACTAACTATTGGTGATCACAATATTCTTTCATCCAATCGAGTAAAATTGTCAGATAATATTTTATTTTCTTCCAAATATTTAATTATTAATTTTAGTTCGTTTTATTACTTTATTAAGTAAAATCCTAAGAATGAAGTTGAACATTTCGATGACTTCGAAGTCTTCTGGCACCTATGCATTTTGTATTATTACCCAATTTTTACCAAGTACAAAAATCAATTGATATATTAGATGAAAAATAGACATATAAATAAAAAAAAGTAATTACTTTTATTTTAAATTTAAAAAATGAAAATAAAACAAAATACAAAATAAATAAAAAATCGACAGTTAGATAGAAATAAATGAAACAATTAAAAAGTAATGGAAAAATATCTAATACGGTCTCCATAATTCAGTGTAAAACAAATAAAGACATGGCGTGTAGTAAAAGCATCGCATGCTGTCAAAGCATTTTAGAACATTCGCATATTTTTCCTTTTTCAGGCTTCGGCAACAAATATGAACACAATATTGTAAGAATTATTATGAATTTAATAGCCCTACTCTCAATTGTATAAAAATATTATAAAAGAAACACTATTACGCTGAGAATAAGAAGTAAAATAACACATCACTATTTTCTGTTCTTTATATGAGAAATATTTAATTAGTTAAAAGAAATGAACATAGTTAAACTATTTAAGTTTAATTAACTGCTATAATTTATTTTTAAAAATTATCCTTAAATAATAATAATAATCTGTATAAATTAAATAAAAGAAGAAAAACGTCTAACTAAAACATGAACGAAATTGACAAACATTATACTTAGATTTATTTCTGTTTGGTGTAAAATTTAAAAGCAATTGTCGATTTAAGCATGAGAAAGATGTTAGATGGCGACGTTAAACCAAAATGAAGAAATGTTGGCGATGGATGAAACAAGATATCGAAAGATGCAACTCTTGGGTGAACATGATAATGGCATCACATATATAAGGCTAAAACAAGAAAATGACCAAAAAGTGCACCTACAGTATAAAGAAAACACTACACTTAAGAAAAACAAGATTTAAGAAAATTCAATAATATGTTTGTTTTAAGAGTCCAAATTGTTCTAAAATATTGAGAAGATGGACATCAAATTCAATATAAAACTTTAAGCCATTGTACAAGAAAACTTCGTCACTTGACCATTATATCTAATTAGATTTATCTATTTCAACTTAGACATTTTACAGTTATATACATAAGGAGAGAAATATTAAATAAAATAGTTAATGTTATCGGAGAGATAATAATAATAATAATAATAATAATAATAATAATAATAATAATAATAAGCTTTTAATTGTTAATTAGTATTAAAAAATATTTTTCCTATCTAATATACCACTAAAAATATTAGTTAACTTATTTTTAGAAGTTTTTATAAATAATCACAAAATTGTATAATCATAGTAAAAAATTTTAATCATTATAATTTTTTAATTTAAAAACTAGTACAATATTTCAATCATTATAATTGATTTAGTTTTTTATTTTTTTTAAATTAGTAACAATGATTAAATTTAATTTAAACCAAATTTATTATATTTTAAAATTATTTAAATTTATAATCCTAGAAATCATTTAAACTTTCTTTAATTAATTTATTGATTCACCTAATTCAATTTTCATTCTCTCATCTATGTTGTTGTTTATTGGACAAATGAAATATAAAAATATGTTATCTTAATCTCATTGTTGATGATATTTTTTCTCTAATTTTTTTTCCTCTGCAACATTCACTCTCATTGATTTTCGTTTTTGTTATATTCATCTTAGTTTTTGTTTCACCTTTTTACTAAATGTAAAAAATTATGATTTATCATTTTTATTTATATTTCTGCTTTACTATTTTCATAATTTTTGTTTCTTTCTTCCGCTCCATCATATTTATTCGATGTTTTCGTTTCATCGTGCATTATTGACTTGGTTCCACATTTATGTATTATTTTTTTTCATATTTTATTTTCAATTTTCCTTCTCACTTTAAATTGACTATTTAGCCTAATTTGTTCATAAAGAGACACAACAATATCCTATATTTTAGTTAAGTTTGTATTGTTTGAGGTTTAGGTTTTCTAAAAATCATTTTATTTGGTTCCAATTTTTATTATTAGATGGACAGAATGATGTGTGTTGAACAAGTAGGATGAGATTGTGCATATTTAATGAATTTTGATATGTAGCTTCCATTGTTGAGCTTGCGTGTGATGGTGTTTTCTGTTAAAGGTTGAATTACCAGTGCAACATGGAGATGGAAATTTGTTGAGTTTGTGAGTTTTATTTTAGTGTTTTTTTTGGTGTGGCTCAGGAGTTGTGTTCATAGTCAAAATCAGGGGATTAAAATGTATAAACAAGGGAATTTTGGTAAAGATATTTTGTAAGGAAAAATTGTCATTTGTAACTTATAATAACTGAAATTCAAGCAAATACAAAATAAGGAGGAATGATCCCACCCCTCACACACATCAAGTGGTAAGAAATGCAGGGTGCCAGGGATGATATAAAGTTACTTGATCATTTTTTTGTCTTATAGTCCCGCTGAAGCAGCTAGACGGGGTTAGTCACTTCTACCTTAGTTAAAGCGATTTTCATCTTCTCTAAGGTATTTTGATTTTACCTGTGATAGGTTTTGAACATGTTGAATTGATGATTGAAGTTGTTATTTCAATATATGTTATTTAAGGATGGGATGTGTTTTTTTTTGTTGAAGTTTAACATCGTGTATTAGTAACTTGATAAGGTAAAAATATTAGTGGGAAAACAATGTCTATTGTATTTGGTATTTACAATCTATTTTTTCTTTTATTCATATCATATCCTACAAATAATTGTAATAATGATTATTTATTTAAATTATAATATTTCATTTTTGATTTTAAATTCTATGCATCATATGATATTTCTAAAGTTAATTTATTCACTTTTATTACTTGTACTTTTGACTCGTGTATTTATCTCTTATGTTTGAACTTAGGAAATTTTCTCTTGTATGAGAATCACTTGTCCTTCATGTGAAATATTTCAATAAAAATAAGAGTCATTTGAAGGAATTTCCAGGATGTTTTATTATTTCAGCCTTCTGGTTTTATCTTACATTTATATTTTGAATGCAATAAATGTTAGAGTCTGCTTGTGGTTGTCAAATACTTTGGAAAAGAGATATTAATTGGCAAGTTTTGTGCACTTATTTCTATCTTCTAATTTTATCTTACATCTCTATTATGCATGCATTAATTATGGTTATATAGTGTTACAGGATACTTGTGGTTGTCAAATACATAGGAAAAGAGTGATTAATTGAGAATGCATATTTACTTATTTTTACATTAGTAAATTGATGTATGTAATGCATGCCCAGGATAGATGACAATGTCGTGAAGGCAAAATTTACTTTACCTCTAAGGTAGATAGTTTCCCCACCTAGAGAATTTTGTTGTTGCTCTAAAGAGAGACACCCCTATGATTGATAATGCTAATGCAAATGTTGACAAGAATGGGTTAAAGCATCCATGAGAATGTATACGTTATATTTTTTCTATTATATTGGTCATGTTTTATGCATATTGAATTTAGTTTGTTTATATAAGCTCCTCGATCTCCTCAACGATCAGATTCTCCTCGTCATTGTGCAAATTTCCTTGTTCATTACTAATTATACTCTCTTTATTGTCATGAAGGAGACACTCCTATCTCCTAGAAAAAGGTCATTTTCCATCTCCATTAATATTTCGTAGATTCGCTGTCAGGTTAACTTTCAAAATTATATTCATATTTTGGTGAAGGATTTATATAGTCAGGTATTCTCACTTGTATATAACCTTTGTAAGATCTCACTTATATAATTTTAGTTAATAATTTAAGTGAATTGATGAAATTTAACTTGTTCATTGTATTTGCATTTGTCGAAAAAATGAATATATATATATATATATTATCTTATAAATAATAATAGAAGTGATTTCAGAACAACAATCATGAGAGGAAAATTCGAAGGAAAAATCCAAGAAATATTCACTACAAAAAAAATGCTTATTATCTACGGAATTTTGTCGTAGGTAATTATTACGGAAAAAAATCCATAGGAATGCACTCGTCTGGAATTACCTATGACCTTATTTTTTATTTATTATATTTTGTTTCAACCCAATACCTCGAGTTGGAGGTCGATACTCCAACCACTAAACTATTAGGATATTTTGATAATAATTTACAAATAAATTATATTTATATTTATCCGTGTAAATATATAAATATAAAAAAATATAAATATAAAATATATATAAATATAAA